CATGGTGGAATGGGCTAGGGAGCTTTGTGGGGTCTCTTTTATAAGGGCACTAATCCCATTCATGAAGGCTCCCATCATGACCTAAGCACCTCCCAAAGGCCCCCACTTCCTAATAGCAAAACAGTGGGCATTAGGTTGCAACATATGAATTGGGGGGGGCGGGGCACACAAATATTCAGTCTATAGTACCAAGCCCCTTGATTAGTCCAAGTCAATTCATTCTAAAATATCCAACAAGAAAGGACCTCTTTTCTTCCTCTGGATACTAGTATAGTATGTGCATAGTTCCAAAGCAGTCATCCACTTACTCATTAACCTTGGCCACACAGTAATCTTCACTGAGTCTCTTTTCTTCACCTGTAAAACACAACTAACCCTTGCAGGCTTCTTATGATGATCAGAAGTAATGCAAGTAAAGAATCCAAAACGAAGCCTGACAAATACTCAGTGCTCAAAATGTGATGGCTACTTGGAATGTCCCACTTTCATACACAGAACGAAATGTTTTAAAGCAATGCAAATATGTACTAAGTACTTCCTGATAATCCAAATCGCACTAGTTTCTCATGCAGCTGCTTCTACTAAGATCTCATTTATCTCCTTCCATGGCCACACATCTCAACTACTGAGGAGCCTAGATCTGTTTTGCTTAGGTGATCATACATTTTGCTTAGTCATTACTTATCCTAGAAACAATTAAAATGAAGAAGCACTTCACTACTGTCCTAGTTTAATCAGACTGTCGTAGTAACAGACATGCCAATCACTGATTCCCAACTGATACTTCCTTTTCAAAGAAGACGTCCAAACTGCAGGCTTTGAAGGAATCAGCCCTGTGTGCCCTAAACCACAACTGACCCACACTGGGTCATCAGCTTCCCTATCCAGGGAACCTGGAACTAGATCACAGAAATGACAGTGCACACTCGAACTAAACCGAAAGAGCACGGAGCATAAGGGCCTGAATCAGCATGAAGGCAAGGCAAGCTAACATTACAGAGAGAGAAAAGCCATGAGTAGGCAGACTGGCAAGTCTGCGGAGAAAAGCAAATCAGAGAAAGAGAGAAGACAGACAATGGGAGCCCTAGAAGAAATGGATGGAATCGTCATGGTTCCCCCATGGCCCAAGTAGCCCTTCATCTACGTGGTGGTGTACTCTTCTAATAATTCCCATTTTTGCTTCAGCTGGTCTACGTATTCCTGTCTCCAAAGTTAAAGGAGAATTCAAAGAACGGGATCAGTCTCATCAGTATCGGTGTAGAAGGATTTGATAAGCACCAGGTGTAGAAGGATTTGATAAGCACCAGGCCTAAAATGGTATCCATGTTTTGGCAGAAATACCATACCGTCAACTCCTATCAAAGAAGTTGCCTCCTTGTTATAGAACTGCTGTCAAAAATGTAGATGCCTACAGGGAATAGGAGGAGAGAGAAGTGGGCTAGCAGGATCTTAAAGTTTTTCTTTAGATCCAGACATGCTTTATTTTCATATTAAATCTACAGGAATTTTCTTCCTTTACATACATACCCACAATATCTGCTCTCTCCCATTTTTCCTGGTCTATTTCTTGTTTTCTGCTTTCCATAAAGACAAGGGTATAAGAAAAGAATGACAACTAGAGGTGATGACAAATACCAAGGGACATTCAGCCTTGTTGACTGAGAGGTAACAGAGAGTAGAGGGGACAGTAGTAAATTAGAAGGATTTCCTACCTAAAGATAATAATCATTCCTCAGTCTCAACCAACTGTCACCATATAGGCCCTAACTTTAAATTTTCAAGAGAAGACAAAAATCTAGATTTTTATGTGCAGTTCCTAGTTTTAAATGTTGTCAATAAATTTAATTTTCTTCTAACATGATGTAGAGTCAGTTCACTGGCTGTCAACTTGCAATCCTACTATAGACCTCTGTGTCCTTTTATAAATTCCTCGATTATAGACCTGTGTCCTTTTATAAATTCCTCGATTTTTCGCTTCCCTAGATACGTCTATTTAACATCTACATGCACAAGGTCTGTGGTTATATAACAGGCAAAGCACTACAAAGGTTGAACCTCAACTATTTTTCCACCTAAATGTCATTTTAAATTCAACATGTTATTTCTCAGAGACAACTTAAAATCATATTATCAATTAACATCTTATTATTAATTAAATTCCAAACCATGCCATTTACTCTGAGAGAGTAGCAACAGAAACTCTTCCAAGTTAACTGCCTCGGGTAGGCTGATAAACTGTTTACAAATGCTATGTCACTTATGTAAATATCCCATCTGGCCTCTCGGCCTTTAAATCTGCTATTCTTTCAGCCTGGAAGGGCTGTCACCTCTAGGAAGCCTTCTTATGTAGTCCCTTATCATCCTAAGTTTACCCCACAGAGCTCACTGCACACAGCACTGAAATCAGCCCTTAATGTTGATCTCCCCAGGCAGACTATTAATACCTTAAGGATAAGGCCTATACAGGATTCAGTATTGCGGCTCCAGAAGCTAAATGTGACTAAATGGGTCCTGGGCCAGAATACAGAGCATATGTTCTGTTCAATAGGCCAACTACCTCCCAAGCAGGCCACCGTATGCCTAACAATGAATGCTCCTTTTTTCACTCAGTATCAGTAGAATGGTGAACAACAGTCTCTGCCCTCGCAATAAACGCTTCAGTGGAAAGAATGAAACAAGTTAGGGATTTGTTAAACATAGACACAAATTATATATATATATATATATTTTTTTTTTTTTTTTCTTCTTTTCAGTGCATTAATATTATGCTGTGTGGCTTTGGGAGATCTACTTAATTTCTCTGGGCCTTAGTACTTTTGTACAGTAAAATGCAGATAATGCCAACTTTACTAGGTTGTTGTGAGGAGTAAGGTGTTCCAGGAAGTGCTAAGCACATGGCATATGTCATAGCTCATTAAAATGCTGCCAACAAACACCTCCTAAGGAAACCAAAACTCCAAGTGTACTCCCAACGGACAGATTTTTAAATCCTGGATAGACATGTGAAAGAGGAAATAGTTCAATAATTGTACTTAATTCATATAGTCTGTAGATTACCAAATAATTGCTTAGTTTTATGAAACTACACTTTCTACCAAGCTCAGAGAAAAACAAACAAACATGGTATAAATCTATGCTTTGTAAAACAAACAGTTCAAGGATTGCCACGTGTATTTGGCATGGCAAAACAAAAACCTGTAGGTGAAAAGTCAGGCAAATTTTGACTCAGTATTAGGAAAAAAATCCAAAATTTCCAAATAACTTAGAGCTAGCCAACAACAGAGTCAGTTTCTGTGGTAGGCAGAATAATGCCCCCTGCCCTTCTAAGACATCTAGTCCTAACACCCAGAAGCTGTGAATATGTTATGCTACACGGCAAAGGGGAATCCAGGCTGAAGAAGGAATTAAGGTTACTAAACAGCTGATCTTGAGATGGGGCGAGCATCCTGAATTATCCAGGTGGGCCCAATGTAATCACAAGGGTCCTTTTAACTGAAAGAGGGAGGCACTGGGAAACTATGACAGCTTCCTGGGGATGTAGTGTCCTCTCCCTTACAAATGACGTTCGAGCAGAGTTAGAAAAGTTGTTCATGGTGTGTTCATGTGTTCATGGTGGGGGTGGGTAAAATGTCATGATGCATCAGATAAAGATTGCCTAAGTGAGTTTCTAAAGGCAAGAGTCCTTACATTAGGTGTAAGGAAAATCCCAGAGAAGTTCTAGAGCATTCAAAGATTCTCAAAAGGATCTGTTTTACAATCAAGGTTAAGAACACTTTTCCTAGATTATTCCCAACACTGAGCTTTTACTATTCCGTGATTTTCTAAGACAGTGAGTCTCAAAGGGTAGCCCACCAAACACCAACATAAAATATCAAAACTCACCTAAGGTAGTTTGTAAAATGCAGATTGCTGAGCTCCACCCCAGACAGAATCTCTGAGAACTGGAGGAAAGTGCAATATTTAACAAACTTGGGGGAGAAAGGACAGGGAATTCCCTACACAGATAAAAAACCACTGCTCCAAGGAGTATTTTATGAAACATTAAGCTGAAGAAACTGAAATAAATTGTTCCCATTGCCGAATCTTTAAAAATCTCAGTGCACTCATCCTACCGTGTGGCTGTAACTTTTTTTTTTTTCCCTGAGCCTCAGGCAGCTTAGAATATGTAGACAATGCCGACTGCACCTAATTTTTTAGATTAAAATTCATTCTGTAGAGCTCCAGAATGATGATTAGCAGGTCATATGTAACACACAAAAATTGTGGGTCCTAGCTCCCCGCCCCACTCCCATGTAAAGAAAAATAATGCCCGGCATACTATACTACATACCGTTAAATACTTGAAGCCTTGTGTTGTGTCGATATCATTAGTAAATGTCAACTTTCTATGATAAATTTCTTGAAACGATTCCCCTTCTAAACTTTCACTATTCCAAATGCATGTTTTGCTTAAAACATTCTCCCAGACCTATATCTGTGATGCCATGGGCAAATTTACAAACTAAGTCCTCCACTAGTCGCAGCGTGGGGCAACCGGAGTGGCCTCGAAGAAAAGATCTCAAATAGAGATGGCCCAAGAGGATGAAGAAGGACAGCTAAAAGTGAGCGGCTTTTGAATCTCAGCAACCTGAAGCAGCTTTTCCCTATCCGAAATGCTTGACAACCCTAAAGCAACCTGAGACGCGACTTTGGGAAGGGGCCTGCGAGAAGAGCATTGAGGACCTCTCTGCGCGCCTCACAAATAACCCAAATTCCAAGGCAAGGTCACAGAGAAGCCATCCCAACCAGGGAACCAGGGACAGAGTCAAGTTCCCCCAGCTCCCAAGAAAGCCCTTCGCGGCATGCACCAAGCCAAGTTAGCGGAGCCCTCCCCGAGAAAGGGCCGGGGGTCAGGAAGTCCCGGTACCTCCACACCCAGACGCAGGCCCTCAATCAAAAAGCCCCTGCCGAGGCCCCCCGCTCAGCTACACAGAGGAGCAGAGAAAGCCCCAGCCACTCACCCTGCAGCCACTGCGTGCTGTGAAGCCATCTCCAACCAGCTCCGCGGCCGACAGACCACCCGGCAGCCCCCGTAAGCACTCCCGTGCCTCGGCGGCCGCTAAAGCCCAAGAGGCAGCGCACAACCCGGGGGTCACAGCCCAGCCTCCAGGTGGCCGCCATCTTCCCGGCCTTCTCGCGGGCTGCCCGAAGCACCGCCTGAAGGCCCAGTCATCAGGCCCGCCCGGGCCCGCCTCCCAGCCAGTGGCCACGCCCCCTGGGCGCCGGCCGATTCCCCCCGCCGCGGTGGCCCCCGCCTCCACATGCGGCAGCGCCGCGGGATCTGCGGTTTGCAAGGCCCCCGGGCCCGCCTCCCGCCTCGTCCGCGCCGCCCCCGGGGCTGCCCCCGGCGCCGCCTGGTGGCGTTGCGGCGCCCCGCGAGAGCCCGCTTGCAGCGCTGGGAGCGACTCAGGTAGGGCTGGAGGCCGGGGTCCACTGGTCCGGCCATGTCTGGCTGTCGCGCTCCGGAGGGAGACTGCTGCTCTCGGCGAGGCGGCGCGCAGGTAGGGCGGGGCCGCCGGTGCCCTGGTCTCCGAGGAGGTGGGGGCTGCGGGGCGCTCCGCGTGCCGGCGTGGGGCAGGGCGCCGGGCGGTCCGGCTCTCCGACGGCGGGCGGGGGCACCGAAGACCGGAGGGGGTGAAATAGCGGAGCGAGGAGGCCGCTGGGCGTCTCCCGCGTGTCCTAAAGACTTGTCGGGAGGACGGGCCGCAGGGCGAGGTGAAGCGCGCCGGTGCGCTGGAGCTGGGGCTGGCCTCGAGCTCGCCCCCTGCCCTGGCGCCCAGCCCGACGGTGGGCCGCAGGGGCACGCGGAAGCGCGGGCCTCGGTACCCGCACGTTTCCTCTGGGCATTGCTCTCTGCCTGCCTCAGTTTAGGTTGATTATGGGGTGATCGCAGAAACGATTCTTCCTTAAGCAGACGTTAAAGGGAAATCCACCCTCGGGCTGTGTATACTTTTCACTCACTTATACACAATAACGGTTTTATGGGACCCTTCTAGGGGCTCAAGGATACAGTAGTGATTAAGACAAGTGGCCTGGGGTCTAGAGGAAAACTAGAGCAGTGAACAATTACAAGGCAGCGTGAGAAGCCCTGCTAAAGAGCCGGGAAAGCCTCCTAAAATTAGCCCCCTCATTGCTCCTGGTGTTCTTAGGGTTGAAGGTCTCAATTAAAAAGTAATAACATGCGGGAGATTTTATTCTGAAATACTTGTCAATGCCGACTACGTTGGGAAGGAATGACAACAATTCCAAGAGCGGCAGATATTCATTTGGGCAATAGAATTGCAATTCAGGAGACACAGGTTCAGGCTAAAACCCAAAATGTGCTCCAAGGAAGACAAAGGAGGGAGGGGATTATAAAGGCAGAAAGAGAGAAATCACACAGGTTGTTTGCAAAATTTGTGATTGGTTCTGGCAATAACTGCTATTTCTTAGCTATCCGTGATTGGTAAGGTCATCTCTAGGGCAGAAAGTTCATATTTGTAGGAGTAAGCGTACCTCTTGAGAGAAGGTCAAGATGACAGCAATGAAGCACAGTTCAAAAGTTACCTTCGGTCTGGGTAGACGTGTGCGTACATGAGCCCCATTTCCTTCGTGGCCTCCCCGCTCCATTGTAGAAGCCTTGACATGTGGTATTCCATTTTGTTATTGCTATCCACATTTCCCCCTTTTGGTCAAGATCTTGTAGCAGAAAGCATCACGGATCAACCCTTTGATATATTGATGTTTCCCTCGTTGCCAGGAAGGCTCATTCCTGGGGAGTCATGTCCCTGGTAGCCGGTGCTCGATCATTAGTAGGAGTAATGCAGTCAGGGGCTTTGGCCATATCTGAGCAATGAGGAGGCAGTCACGAATTGAGTCCTAGGTCTAGTCTCTACCTGGAAACAGTGTCAAGTCCTTTGTTCAGAGTTGCAGGATTGGTCAGTCATCTCAAGTCGCTGAGCAATCATTACTCTGGCGGTAGACACAAATATGCAGTATCATGAAATGCAAATCATTAGAAGTTTCAAGCAGGAAAAATTGAACAAACCAGAACAATAATCATTACTAAGGCCTGGAACCCTGATCTCAAAAGAGCTCGAGGCCAGAGGGTAACCAACCAAACAGGTTAAAGTGGTCCAGGTGGCCAGTAGTATGACCTGTATCGCTGAGGACATTTATATTATCTTTTATGACCTTTAACTCTTGTTTTATGTGACCAGACTCATTTACGTAGAAGCAACATTCTTCTCCCAGGAGTGCGCAAGTACTCCATTGTTGAGCAGTTAGGATATCAAGAGCCCTTGGGTTATCTGATATAATCCCCCTTAGGGAGTTAATACAGTCCCCCTTAGGGAGTCCAGGGATCGTTGTTGAGCCAAGGCTTGAGCAGTAGAATTTGCCAGTGTAGCTGTGGTTAGGGATAAAATTTTGTCAACAGGTCATTATGGATAACATCAATCCAAGGGACAAACCCTTCAGCACTGGTAACCAGTAGAGAGTAGATGAGGTATAAAAAGGGGTTGCCAAGCCTCGCCTAAACCTATGAGATTGTGGTTGGATTTTTTTCCTTTAACAAGAACTTGAAATGGAATATTATGGTGTCGTAAAAGGCATTATCCTTTCATGTGCCAGCTGTCTGGATGTTCATAAGCTCATGCTTCCTCGTAGTAACCAGACACAAAGTTGTACCCAAAGGGGGGCATGCAGCATGCAATACTTTCTAGTTCTGCAGCAGTGTCAGCAGTCAGGAGCACTTGGCAAGGTCCTTTCCAATGGGGCTTGAGGACTGTCTTCCTCTGATGATGCTTCCAGAATCCCCAGTCACCAGGCTCTGCACTCTGACCAACAGGACCCTTTAAATTGGAATCTGTTGATGATAGGCTTGAGCATAAGACAGTAGAGACTTACGCTGGCTGGTCATATTAGCATAAGACAACAGGGGATCAGCAGAAAGTTATGTACCAGTAGACAGTGATCTGCTGGTGACTGTCTCATGTAACATTAGTTTATATTTTCCAAAGAGGGTACTTCAAACAGTTGGCAAGGCCAAAGGGAATACCTTAGGCCAGGGGAGTCTAGTCTATAGATATATAACAAAACCTGAAGACAATTAACAGGACTAGAATCTAATATTTATAAGGGTGCACACGTAATTTTTGTCTCTACAGTTATCCTCATTTTTTACCAAAATAATCACAGCAAGACTAATTTGTTTATATTAAAAACTTGGCCTGATTTTTTATACAAGTGGAAATAAAACTACTCTGAGAGTTTCTGAATTCTGGCGGATCAGGTAGGGAGGAAAAGTAAATGTTTCATCTATGTTCACAAAGGTATGTCTTACCAAATTGTTGATAGCTTAAAAGAAAACATTTCTTTAAATCTGGAAAAACAAAACATTAGAGCATCTTTCTTAGCTCACGTAGTCCCATGTAATTTAATGTTTTTTCTGCTTGAATCCAGTTTTTCCATTAGTTTTCTCAACTTTGCCTGATGATTGAGGGTGATAGGAATAGTAATAATTCCAAGAAGTTTGAAAAGGTTTCCTTAAGGTTTATATGATTTTCCCAGTGAAGTGGGTGCCTCGATCACTGGATGCTAGAAGGTCTATACCTTCCCAAGTGGGAAATACATTTTCTAGCAGTTTCTGTGCCATCATGAGGGCGTCAGCTTTGTAGCAAGGGAGGGCTTTAACCCATCCGGAAAACATACGTACAATAACAAGAACATGATGATAACCAATACTAAGTAGCATGTGAATGCAATCCAGCTGCGTGTGCTCAAAGGACCCAGAGGGAGGAGGTCTGAGGCCTCTGGGGGCCGAATACTTTTTCATAATGCACTGTGGCGGGGACGGAATGTAAAAAAACGAGAAAGTGGGGTTTCCCAGGGAGGCAGGAAGAACCAAGTGGCCATCTTGGGTTTTCCATAGCCCCAGCTGTTTGTTGAATGTACAGACATTGTTTACCCACCTTAATTTCTCTGATTCAGGAGCAGACTGTTGCCCTGTTACAAGGACATCAGAATGGCAAAAGTCTGGCAATGAGAGGTCAGTTTTTTTTTTTGCAAGAGAAGCAGAATGGACTTCATCCACATGTGTCATAACCTTTAAGATTCTGTTGTTGCTACCTTTGCATGACAGTCAGCTAAGGTGCTCTTCTGATATTTAGTGTGAGCCTCAATTTTGATGACAGACAACATTTTATGTCAGGACACATTAGACTCCCAGGAATTTCACATCGTTTCTGGAACTCTTATAACCTATAAAGACATAACATAAAGAAGGCTTAATGTTATTTCTTATTTGACAATGCTTTCCATGTAGTTTAACATATTGAATAAGCCTAATTAGTTTAATATCTCTCAGGACAGAAAAAAAAGACTTTATGTAGAATTTGATTTTTGGGAAGTTTGTCAAAAGATATCAAAAAGGTTTTAAAACATTTGATCAAAAAGGATCACAAATTTTTATGAAATAGTACTTAATTGTCTCTTTAACCACAGTGACCAAGTGATTTTAAAGGCAAACAGAAAGTTACATAGTGCTGAGCAAAACCCAGCTTTCCTAACTAATTGAAGACTTGATAAAGACAAAACACAGAATCTGTGTTTCCTAGGCAGATTACATTAAAGGTAAAGAAACTTTGTTTAGTTTCTTATTAAGAGCAGATCAGAGATCTGAGAAGGCTTTGTCCTTTAATAGAGAGAAAAACCAAATTCTTATTTTGTACCAGTGTAGTTTTGATATTAAAATTCATTTTTAAAAATAAATTTATTTTAATCTTAGCCAACTTGACTACACATCAAAATTTCTTTTTAAAGACTCCTTTTTCACAAACCTTCTACAACTTTCTATATCTGTTTAGGTTTTCTCCTATCTTTTTCTTTCTTATTTTAGAACAATTATTTTGTTTTAGGACAAAATTACTTTCTTGTTTTCCTTTATCAAAAATTCATCTTCATTCTTCCTACCTTCTCTTACCGAAAACACATATCCTTCTTTCCTTGTCTACTTTCATATATAGTCGTTTTCTTATTTCAAAAACCTAACGAAGTTTATCTAAAAAAAAGAAATGATGCAAGGCAGTTGTTGCAGGATGATTACAGATTTACTCTTAGTGGATATCATAATTGCCTATACATTACATTAAATGGATATAAACTCATATATAACACAGTTGAAGTAAACTATACACTCTGGAAAGTACAGTATGAGATATACTTGTTTGTAGGTT